CCCCCCCCCCCACCCCCATCACGTCTAATCATGCAGTAATATTCGCACGTTAGGAAACATAGCGCACAACATAAAATCCCAACAAGCGCTTTAACAATTAACAAACATCCCACGACTTTGTAATAGCAACCAAATTTATGGTATCTCACTACACAAATAATTCAAAATGATATTCTAATTTATGAATTAAGATCAACTACTATTTATCGCCATAAGAATAACGACCACAGAGAATTTTCTCACCTGCGCTGCGCCCATTTTTCGATGTTGATCAGTCTGATCAGTAATTCTACGTGAACTCAAAGAGGTATGCTTTCTTAAGAGTTTCGTGTGCAAATCTGTTTTAGCTTGAAGACCACGGGTAATGTAATATGTCTGTAACGTTGCGGTACATTAATCATAGATGGTACGTGACTGAGAAAACGTACGCATTTCACCCGCCGAGTTCACCGGGCATTACGGGCTAATGTGCGCCTATGTGTGCCCTCAAGGAAACAGGCGAGTTTGAGATACCGATCAACTTTGTGGTTTTCTTAAAAACTTCTTCGTGTAATTTTTAAAAATCAAGAAAGAAACAAATGTTGAAACAAAAACAGTTGTCTGTTGTGCTTCAATACAACACTGCTATATGGCAGAAAGACGAAGAATTTCCCTTCGGTAATACTTAATTCGTTGGCATAGGTGCCGGAAACCTTAATTGGGGGGAGGGGGGGGGGGCAGCCCCCGTCCACTTTTTTAAACAATTTTTTTTACTAATGGCTCGTTGAAGTATTACCACGTAGGCCAAGACCCCAGCAAACATAATTCATAATTTATTTTACCGTTATCCCTCGGCTTCAGTCGGTAATTGCTTTTTTTACCTGAATGGTAACCCAACCCCACCATATATAAAAGTAATGTATACGGGATTAACCAGCCAAAATAAATTTTCCGCGGAAAAAATATTTTCTCCTATTCTTGGAATTATTGTTCGATCCGTTCCAGCACTTGGATTCGAGGTTTTATTCCATTTTAATTCAATGATTTAGTTTTAAATGAGTGCCTTGCACATTTCAGAAGGGACTATCGACGTCAGGTACTTTTGTTTGAGGGTTGTATAGTCTGTAAGGTCTGAATTAGGAAATTTTAGTTGCTTTGCAGGTTATGTAAACCAAGTACTTATGGAGACGTAGGAAATATGACTTTGGGAATATTTCAAACGCGTACAGAATACCATAAATTGCTCTCTAAACGGCTTTAGTTGGCATTGCATCACTAAATTTGAGATTTTAACAGATAGCAGATTAGCATTTGTATTAGCAGATAGATGCATTGATGGACATCGTGGGCGGGAGGGAGTGTTTTAAATCAAAAGGTGGGATCAGCCTATTACCCTTCCAAATGGGCAGAATAGAAATCAATAGACAGAGAAATGTTTTACGCATTCACCACTACGAAATGTCGCAAACTGCGTGCATGTTTCAATATTTTACTTTGCAGACTGTCATTGGTTACTGAAGCGTATCGCTTTTCAGAATCGTGACAGACATTGCTATAATGCACTGCTGGCATAATTTTTGTATAAATCTTTCAATAATGACGACAGGCAGAGTTATTTCCAAGGCCAACAGCATAGGACACCCTCATCTTATTGTGGTTAAGAGGTAAAGGTTCGTAAGGGTCTTTTATAACCCTGCTTTGTTCCGTCTCTGAAATAACGTGCCGAAAGTGATGCACCAGAAATGTCACCCATTTAGCCATAGAACAATAATAATTAAAAGAATACATACGACTGCATATATTCTATTTTGACTTAAAATGAGGAATTACTTTGTTAGAAAAGATATTTCATTCACTTATGCTCAACTATTATGGCAACGAGCCATCATTGCAAGATAAAAAAATTCTTTTTGTATGTATAATACACAAACATTACTAAACTGAAGAACCTCTTCAAGTCTTATTTAATAATAACCTATTATATATAGCTTCCAAAAAAGGACACAGTTGTTTTTCAATGAAAGGCATACATTACATATTAAGAAGTTAAAAAAAGAACAAAAATGAAAAATATTAAAACTTTATTATTGCACATTTAAAGTCAAATGTAAAGTTTGAATTGTTTTGTATAATTATGAAGTTTTTTTATCACAGATGTTCCTTAGGGCAGTCAAAAGATGACTAAATATAATGTTGTTTCCCTTTTTTTTTTGAAAGTTAATGAAATCAACAGCAGTGTTCACGAGTTGCTGATTAAAAAAACTGAAAAATAATGAGAAATAGTTAAATGAAGTAATTTTCATGATTCTGTTTCATAAATCAAAGTCAGATTTAATCAAAGTTAGCTTTAGATAATCGATTCATTAAAGGTAATACACTTAGACTGCGTTGTTGATCCTGTTTCTGTGCCGTGGGAACACCATGAAGTAAAAGTGAATAAGCAGGCACTTGACGGGCTGGAAAATGATGAAATCCTCCAGTATGGCCAAACCAACCAGTAGCAGCCAGTGGTAGAGACTTTCGTCTTCAAATGACATGCCATAAATGGCAGTGACGAAAAATGACACAGCAATGGAACAAATCAAAAGTGCAAAGATGATGTATTTCACCCAGTGTGGAAGTAGTTTCTTAAATTCTCCCTTAACCATCATCTCTACATGCAGGAGTTCCTTATCATTCAAAGGTCTTGCTTCTTTATTTGGCTGTTTTAAAACTGGATATTCATGATCTGGAAAAAAAAATTAACCTTGAAATCATAGGACTGAATGACTCACATTTTGCATTCCCAAATCACTTAGAAAAAAAAAAAAAAAAAAAAGACTGACTGAATAACAGAACTCTGCTTTTTTTTTACATGTAGTATAATCTTTCATGACTACATGATGGATAAAATAGAAATAAAAAAACTGAGAACTACCTTCTTTTCCTACATCAACACTGACATCGAGAGCAACGTATTCTTCTGAAATGATAGAGTAGTTTTTAAGTATAACAACAAGTGGTAAAGAGAACTCTCAAATATGAATGCTATTTGATTTCTTGTGCTTCAAATCTCTTCACTCTAGAGCAACTACAATATACATTATTAATATAAAAACTACTACTGGCAATAATTATTCTTTTCAAAATCATAGCAAAAAAGCCAATACCTTGTTTAATATCCATGTCAATGACCACATCTTTGGATCCTGATGGCATGAAAGGAGCAATTTTACAGGCAGATAAGACAGCTTTGTTTCCGTGCATTTCCTCAAAGCGATCTACCTGTGGCAAAGATGTGCTTAATTTCTTGCACGGCATGGCCTTGTTAGCCTCTGACAGGGATCTAACTACAGAGTCAAGGCTTCTGCTCCTTCCTTCTTCTGAAATGATAGGGTAATTTTGAAGTACAACGACAAAATTTTAAGAGAACTTTCAAATATGAATATTCATTGATTCTGCGGGCTTCAAATCTCTTCACTTTATGAGATGCAACAACTTATATCATAAATATCAGAACTATTTATTGGCAATACTTATAATTATTTTCAATATTACAACAAAAAAGCCAATACCTTGTTTCATATCAATGACCACATCTTGGGCTCCTGATGGCATGAAAGGAGCAATTTTACAGGCAGATAAGAAAGCTTTGTTTCCGTGCATTTCCTCAAAGCGATCTACCTGTGGCAAAGATGTGCTTAATTTCTTGCACGGCATGGCCTTGTTAGCCTCTGACAGCGATCTGACTACAGAGTCAAGGCTTCTGCTCCTCCTTTTTTTTGCTGAAATGATAGATTAATATTGAAATACAACGACAAAAGGTAAAGAGAACTCTCAAATACGAATGTTCATTGATTTCTTGTGCTTCAAGTCTCTTTTTCGTTTTATGAGACGCTATATCACATATCATACACTGTAAATAATAAAACTACTTACTGGCAATAATTATCATTCTTTTCAAAATTATAGAAAAAAGCCAATACCTTGTTTAATATCAATATCAATGACCACATCTTTGGATCCTGATGGCATGAAAGGAGCAATTTTACAGGCAGATAAGACAGCTTTGTTTCCGTGCATTTCCTCAAAGCGATCTACCTGTGGCAAAGATGTGCTTAATTTCTTGCACGGCATGGCCTTGTTAACCTCTGACAGGGATCTGACTACAGAGTCAAGGCTTCTGCTTGCCCTCGGTAGTTTAAGGAGTCTTCCATTCTCTGCAGACATGAGGTAAGCATCTTTGAGACTTTCAAGCAAGTTTCTGCAATCTATGAGCTCTGAAAGTTAAAACAAATGCACATGCATCCATGTCACAGCTTAAAACCCAACAAATTTTTGTTGTATTTAAATGACTAATGCACATAGTCTACTATATAAAAATCCAATAACACTGATATACGAATTTTTAAAAATGGGGGACTGGGAATAATTATCTTATCATATTTTTGTAAACTTTTTTATTTGGGAAATATTTTGCTACATGGGCCATTCTGAAGTGTATCTGTGGGTCTTTGATTGATCTTTTGCAATATTTCCTATAACCTTAGAAAAAGGTTCAGGGAAGGGGCGGGGGATATTGCCTTCTTCATCCACTTATGCAAAAATCTTTCATTTTTTGAAAATTAGATTACCCTTTGCTATAACATGGTCATCTCCTAATGCAGTATTCAGTGCATCAGGAGTGGTATTCAGTGTTATTATTACCTCCACCAAGGAGGTTATGTTTTCACCCCTGTTTGTCTTTTTGTTTGTTTGTCTGTCATCAACATAACTCAATAAGTTATGGACCGATTTTGATGAAATTTTCAGGAACTGTCAGAAGTGGGCCAAGGAACAGATGATTAGTTTTTGGTGGTGATCTGGATCAATAATCAATCAATAGTAATAAAAAATTGCTGCCTTGGTGGAGGTCTGCCCTCTCGGAGTGCTTTTCTAGTTCAATTTATAAAATTTGACACAAAATTAAAGCTGTTGTTCCTTACCTTTGTGAACTGCTATGACATCCCCTAATGCAATGGAGGAAACATCTGACTCATTGGAGGAAGCTGGACTCCCATCCTGAAAAAATCAAGAGAACCAAATCAGTAATTATCTTTTCATCAACCATTTTTCAAAGTGTGTAGTATTTTTTGTTAAGCACGATGTTACGCATTTCTGTATAACAACTGTTTAATTTTGCTTGATTATTCCCATTCAATATCTAGTTTTAATTTTTGCAGGAATAATTGTAATTTATTCTGACAAAAAGAGTACAATAGTAATTTTCAAATTAGTTATATTGTTCTTTTTTTTAATTATTTAATTCATTTTCATTGTTTTAACAATTAACATAACAATTATTCTAACCTCATATGGAAGCTCATGTTCTTTGAGGGGTAATCCCAGCATTTGTACAGCCTTCTAAAATACAATGTCAATTTCTTACAAATACAAAGCAATTTATTTACAGAGCTGATCAAACTCATTATAATTTTCATAGAATTTTAAAAGTTGATATATCATGATTTAGTCAAACCACAAATCTCTCAAAGTTTTTATCCAGTAGATGAACAACAATAGTCCAAATAAAAGCGCATGGTCAATATTTGGCACAATTTGCATTTAATTGTGTTTGGTTGATAATAGTTACCTTCATTAAAGAAGCAGCAACATTTCTGGCGACTGTCTCAGAATAATTCAAAATTGATTCCTTTAATTCCTGTTCCTTTACAAACACATCCCCGAAGTTGTTCAGAGCCAAGAAGCCTAGCTGTACTGTCTCCTTGCATGCCTCCCAGCTGAAAAATCCATTTGGTTATTTAGTATTAAAAGTAGCTTTCATTAACATCATTTCCCTTATAATGCTAAATCTATTTCAATAGATAGATATTTTTATATGGATATATATTTGAACGTTCATTATGGCATTGACATTTTTTGCAGAGAAAACAAAAGGCTCACTTGTCATTATAAAATGCTTTGACATCCTTATGCAGAAGATCTTGGGCAAGTCTAATAGCTTGTTCTTTATCATGGCAGGCTTGATCCTGAATTTGTCCATCACACTGGTGTAGAATGGCATGATGAGCTCTAATGATGGCATTAAAAACAAGTGCATCCAGGTAATGGTAAGTAAATGCCTGCAATAATTGAAAAAAAAAGATGATGTAAAAAGCAAACACACACACACATAGGTACATGTATATGCAAAGAAAGCAAAATGGTTATTAAAAGACATTGAGATATCAGTCCATCATCAACTTCATTTTGTATTCTAAATAAAGTACATAAGCCATTTCTCCCCATGTGAAGCTTCTTTTATGATCTTCTCCATTTTTTTGATGAGTTGGTGTACTATACCTCTATTATCATTTGATTCTTGTCATTTCTGATATCAATCACTTCTTTCTCCATAAGCTGCAGTACTTGGCCAACGATTGTATGTGTAGATGGAATGTCATGGTGTAAGCATTGCCCTGATTGTTGACTCTCAGTTTCTTCATTCTAGAAATGATAAAGGATTCAACCTCATTGACCATATAAAAAAATCCCCCCTTTTGATCTTAAACTGAAATCAGTAAAATGCCCAGAGCTACTCACTCATTCAGAGACTGACTGGTAAACTTATCATGCGTTTGATATCTTTATAAATATCTTTAAGGAAAGGCAAAACTTACTGTCAGCAGGCATGTGGAAGGGCTCTGACTACACAGTCTGTCAGCATCTAACTTGGTGGAGGTAATCTGCAGAAGACTCTCAACCAGTTCATTTGAAAACTCTTTCATAGCCATCTGGCTGACATCAGTGGCAATGTCACACATATCATCAAATGAGCCTAAAAGACCATGGGCGGTACCTTGGGCCAAATCCTTCACTGACTCAGCTGTAATGTCATCTGGTATGATTAGAAGCATCTTGAAAACATTCAAACCAGCATCTGGGTCATTAGCTATCATTTTGGAGATCAATTCACCCAGAGATAAATTGGGTCTGGTGCCAGCAATTATATTCTGAACACTACTCTGAGCTGTATATCCTGATGCCGTCAAGTTTGTCAGTGATGCCTTTTGTCTTGACTTCGACCTAGCTTGCATCAGTGGAACAGCTTCTTTGAGGTGGTTCACAGAAGCTGATGCAGACAGGTTTGTGAGACTACGACCATACACATAACCAGATTTTGTCTGCCGTGGTTTTAGATCTGGAGCAAATTTTCCACTGTGCACTCTAATCTCTTGTGTGACATTCTGAGGCTCACAGATAGGTTGCAAGTGAAGGGCAAGAAGTGACTTGCCAGTTTGTGCCACTGACTCTACACTTCCCTTGATGTCCTTCTGCCTGTAGTACTCTCCAGTTATATTCAGTTGCAGCTTATTGTCACTCAAGTCATCACCCCATTCATTTTCATGGTCAGATAGGTCTTCTGAAATGGTCTTCTTAGTCATCTCCTGGCTCAACCTTCTTACAACAGTATCAAATCCCCTGGTGTCAAACACAGATCTGTTCAGCTTCTCAGTTAGAGATATCTTTGGTGCATGCTTATCTGGTTCTTCATTCTGGGACATGTCTTTGTCCTCATCTCCCTCTGCTGTAGGTTTTCTCTTATTCTGAAGCTGGGTCTTCTGGTAAGTTGTCATGAACTCAAATACTTTTGTTTGCCAGCCTTGGACCCCATATTTGGCAGAGGTCTTGTCCTTCATTAGCATGTTGACCATGTCACCAATTAGCTCATTCAGGAACTCAGCAGTTGTCTTCTCAGCATTCCCCAAGGACAAGCCTTTCTCTATGTGATCTTTGTCTGTTGGATTACTTTTCCTTCTTGTGCTTGGGGCCTTAAATATTGCCAAACATAAAATTGCTGTTGATAGTTCTGATTTCATATTTCTTGCTGGCAACTGCATCTCACATGGTGGCTCTTCTGTGCTGTTATCCATGCTTGAAGGCTCTCCTGTACCTGACTCCACTGAGCTCATTTTTGCTGCCCACAAGGGATTGATCTGCAAAAGCTTGTTGATCCAAATTTGTTGTTCTTCTTGGGGCAGGTCTGTCAGTTTCACATCAGGAAAGTAAGTATCATCTACATGATCATTGTTCTTCTGTGCCAACCTTGGTATGCCCATGTAATCACATAGAGCACCAGCTGTGTCATAAACAGTGGCTTCTGAGCCATTGGCAGGAGCTGATGCACATCCTAGCTGTACAGCCTTCTGATATTTGCAATACCAGTGGATTGGATATGGATCTTTCATTTGCTTCTGGCACAGGAGACAATTTCGCCTTACACCTGCATCTAGCTGTTCTTGGGTGAGTAAGGCCATCTTATTGGAATGTACCTTAGGTGTCTTTGGCACCTGCTGCTGAGCCTGTTTAGGGGGATCAACTTCATCCAGTTTCTCATCTACCCAAATTGGATTGATTTTAAATAATTCATTGAGCCACATCTCTTGTTCCTTTGGCTCAAGGTCAATCAATCTCTTCTTAGGAAAGGTTGGTACTGTTTTGTTAATCACTGCTGGATTTGGTAACCTCATATAAGCATACAGAGCATCTGCCTCCTGCTTAAGAGTTGCATCTGGTCCATTGACAGGGGGCTGTGCCAGTCGGAGCACTATGGCCCTCTCAAACTTGCACACCCAGTGGTATGGGTATGGGTATTTAGACTCGACAGGCTGCTTGCAAATCATGCACTGCCTTTGAACTCCAGCATCCAAGTCAGACTGTGTGAGGATGACCATTTTTCCTTTTTTAACAACGAGGTCTTGCATCACGTCAGGTTTGTCCACACCTGTGTTGCCCCCAGTAGCTCCTGATTCAGCAGATTTATGTCCACAATGCTGTGTCCCCTGTGATCTCTTTGATTTTCTCCCATCTTTGCTCTTTTTAGGCAGTCTTTTCCTGTCAACTGGTGGTCGCTTTGCTTTCAGGTGTTTCTTTTTGATTGGATTCTCTCTAAATTCAAGTGGGGTTTCCTCAAAGACTATACCTTGAGGTAGGGGAATGTCCTGCAAGGCACCATCTTCTGGCAATGGTACCTCTCCAAAAAGGAGTCCTTCAGGAAGAGGAATATCTCCAAACAGGATGTCATCTGGTGTAATTGGTGGAAGCTGACTGAGGAAATTTGAAAACTGACTTGCTTCTGCTGGAGAATTTCCCTGAAACATAAAGAGCTGGCATGCCTTTCATTTTTTACACAATCAGTAGCAACTTAAATATTTTTATGGATCATGCTCATCTATTGACTAACCTTAAGCTATATACACCGTTTATATTTAATAGAGTGAAAAAAATTATTCAGTTGTGGTAGTCACACAGGGCAGAGATTTTCAAATTTTAAATGATTTAAATTGCTAGAAAACACATCAATATTAACAAGTATACACAAGTAATATACAATTATTTATGAAAATAGTACACATACAAATAGTTACTTACCTGCTGTTCGCTGTTTGGATTCCCTGCATCACTGAAACATAATGCACTCATAGGAGTCAATGCATTCAATCAACATAGTGTGAAAATGACCTTAATATAAGAATAGATAGTTCACATTAAATCGGGTTTATTTTTTGCTAGCCCCAAAGAGTAAAAGTGTACGAAATGTCAATGCAGAATTTGAGAGCAAAGTTTATTCCTTACTTTGTGCTATGACTTTGACCATTTTCATCAACATCACTCATGTCACTGGCACTGCTGCTGTTGCTGGTGTTGTTATTGCCATTTTTGTTACCAATCTTGCTGACAGCAGTGTCTGATTTGGATCTGTAATATAAGTAAGGCGATGCTGTAAACTGACTGTTAGAATAATGGTACCAGCTGCTTAACTGAAATTTCCCCACTGTACTAATTGATGCAACACCATAACTTAGCATGATCTGTTGCCTTTGTTTTTGTAAAGCTGATAAAAATGGCAGTTTTTCAAAAAATGGTTTTAGAAGTGAAAACTGTTATTTTGAATTCTCCTTAAAAGATCTTCGGTAAATATAAAACTGCAGCAATAGTACCTATTTAATGGCAAATCAAATGTTGTCTCTACATCAGTTCGACTCAAGCGCTGTAAGTTGAGCTTCTTCCCTATCATTTCTGTTTTGGACAATTTGAGAGCATGTGTGGTTGCAAACATAGTGTTACGTCGTTTCCCACTGCTTGCTTGCGTGCTCTCTCATGATCACATTATTCTACCAACACTAGCATTTATAAAGAACATTTCATGCTGTTTCTTCATACACAGACTTAACATCAAAGAATGTATACCTTGCCATGTTGCATAGGAATTGTGTACATTGGATTCCCTCTAAATTTTCCTCATCCTCATGATGTACATAGCATCCGGTATAAGCTTGAGAGAATAGGAATTTCTTATCATGAATGTGGCTGTGTGCAAGATCTATGCTACTATCTATGGCTTGCAAACGATTCCTTTCTGTTGTCCGTAGTCTTTCTGGAATCAAAGAAGTGCTCACACCTAAGTCATATTCTACTTAAATTCTTTTTTATAATTGATTATATAAATTACAGACAACAATATACATATTACTTTTTGTTATTTGAAGCAATAAAAAAAAAGTTATCCAAGCCAGCAAACCATCAAACCTCTTGTACATACAAGATAAATATATATTTACAACCAGGATTTTAAGACCTCTTCAAAAATGCAGTGACATTTTTGTACACTTTTATAGTTACCTTGGTGTGCTTGAAATGCAGACACTCTATCAAAGATGTTAGCACACAATTTCTTTGACTTCATATTTCCAAGGAATATTTCACAGACGCAGTTGGCAATACAGATGGCTGCATTCACAACAAACGTTATGAGAAAAGTGTTGGCTGAGAAATGTAGGGCAAATTGGTGACTGCCAACTGTGATGAGTGCCGTCTCCATCAGTACATTTCCAAGTAGGAAGTTTCCAACACTTGAAAAGAGGAGCAAAAGGGTGGCTGGTCTGGAAAGCACCTCAGCATGTTCTTGTCCACCACCAAACACAGGATAAATCCATGTGTGGTACCTTATGATTATTCTGAGTAGAGTACTCCACATTAAGCTGCAACAAAAAAAAAAAAAAATTAACTGTGAAAATTTGATAAGCACAAATATACTTGACAGAGAGTTGTTAAGAGATACATATATTTGATAAATTTTGCCAAGACGGATAATATTAAAGGAATGTTCCCTTCAAGCAATAATTATATACAAAATATCTAGAAAAAAGAATATCCAGCTAGAATGGGGTAAAAGATTTTTAAGTCTGTCATTTTGCTACTCACTTATAAGCACGGCCAACATCAGTTAAAGGAAGAGTATGGGTTTGAGCAGCCCCATTAAGTTTTGGTTTCAGCCACTTATCAATGGCAAAATACCACTCTCTGTCAGCCCAAGGGTCAGACACAGTCAGATCAGTCAAATGCCTAAAAAAGCAGTCATTGTTTATTATCACTGATTTTATATTATCCTTTAAATTATATTTTCAACTCTTATGAATCACAAACACTTTAAATCACATCTAAAACTGAAACAGTAAGGGGATATTGTGATATTCACCATTTTGCCTTAACACCATGTCCATTCAAAGTTACCAGGACGTGTGTAAGTTCTCCAAGGGGAGCTGGAAAAAAAGAAAAATGCTTGATGCTTTGGACTGTTGAAGAATATTGCACCAGTTATGTTAATTTGGCTTGCATATTGCTAAAACATACAAGACAAAAATAAGATAAAAAATGCAGGCTCACAAATACGAAAGAAATACCAATTAAATTTGTTTGTATGAAAAGTTTCAAGGGCTGAAAAAAAACTTTAATCTGAAAATTACACTTGGGAGTGGTATTTTGAATGAATAAATAATATCAAGTCTCTTTTTGGTGCTCTGTAAGTGGTTAAACAAACCTTTGGTGTAAACAAGGAGCATAGCCTCCTTTCCTCGAGACAAAACTTCCTGATCATTCCTTGGCAATAGATATTCTGGTGAGGATGAGCTGTTAGAAAACAGTTGCACCTTGATTTGAGCATTAGTCCCAGCATCTAGACATATGGAAATAATTCTTTTAACTAAATCTAACCAGAAATTCCCTTTGATTCATAAATTCTCATCAAAGCTCTCTGCTGTTTAACATATTCACTTTTTTTTTAATATATATAGAACGTTAAATAATCTTTCAATCAATAATTTATATGTTTTTGTATTTGTTTTAGTATACGGATTTGGGCATTAATTACATACATACATCGTTTAAAGCTTGTCCTCACTGTTATTATGTATGCATAAAAACCATCTAGTACATATGGGCCAGGGACGATCTTGGACTGAAAATATGTACATACTCATCATTAGTTACAAGGGCAAGATAGTTAAAGGGCGTATTCCCAGAGCTTCTAGATCGATCTATCCCCGCGGGAGTCTCACTAGATTACTGTCAGATAATCCGGCTTAAATGTCCGTCCCGCCTACTACAAGCTGTAAGGGGGTAATTAACTTTCGTTCCCGCTCGGCTGACAGCTATTTAGCGTGAACCCCCCAGGGAGTTAGGTCGATCTAAAGTAGATCGATCTAATCTCTGAAAATGGGGTCAAAGACACCATCATCACCATGAAATTCTATGTTCATTTATAAACCAGATTCTATTGCTAATTATATCTTTTCAAAACTACACACTGACTTTTCTCCATGCACAAGTATATTTTCCAAGCACCACAAGTTAAATATTGACACAAGACACATTCCAAAGGTTACAGGAGGTAACTCACACCATAAGAAGAATATAATAAATAATAATATAAGATAAAATAAATACTTTTCCCTTCCTTCCAACAAAAAGAGCTGCAGAACAGCAGATAAAAAACACCACAACAACACCCAGTATGAAATGGATCTTGTAACCAAGAGATATAAAAGATGGAGGAGGAACATAAAGGTGAGCAGAACCAAGCAGTCGGCTATCCACTGCCATCCCAAGCTTTGGAGGCATCAAAACTAAAATAAAGGAGAAACAGAAAGAAAGAAAAATAGATATAAATAAATAATGAAAAAAAAAAGAAAGAAAAAGAAAGAAATGCAGAAAGAAAAAAACTGGTTGATAAAAAAAAGATATGCATCTAAGCCTATTATGAAGCTAGCATAAAACAACAAGAAAAAGGAATAAAAACTTACAGAACAGTGAAATGCAGGTCAAAAACTTTAAAAAGATAAAAAAAAAAAATTGGCCTTCAAATGTAAAGAATCAACTAAAATTTTCGCTAAATTCATGGCTTACTTCTAGGTTTCACTGGTGGCATTTTGATCCCCTCCACTACAGGTATACCATTTGTCCTGGGAAGTCTGACCCTTTTCCAGACACGAGATGTAGTTGGTTTAGGCAAGGATAAGGCATGCTTTTTCACTCTTTTCCTTACTGAACCATTGTGGGTTTTAGCACTCTCCTGTGTGGCCCAATGGGATAAGTCCTGTGCATTTGTTTTTATCCAGATTGTGAACTTCTGTACATAACCTTTCATGTCTCCCGCCAGTTTGTGGATTTCTTCCTTAAAAGCACCTACTACCTCATCAAGAGACATATCATCCCCATGGGCACTTTCAGATGTAAAGTCGTAATTCAATGTGGAAGTGCTCATGCCTGCTCTGGTGCTCCATATCTGGCTGTCTAGACTGTTAGAAGTTTCTGTGAGCCAACTAAATCCTGAAATGTTTCATTTGTAATTTGCCTATAATACGATTGTACAAGTTATTTCAAGAAAATCCATAAATAAAGATTATATGTTAGCATTTTTATATTGCAGAAATAAATAAAAAATGAATAGCAATGATGTCAAAATTTTATATATAAAAGGAATATTTTGATTTAAATATTTTCATATTAATTGATGAATTAAAAATGAAAGAAATGTGTAATGTACAACTAGTCTAACCAAGGTATGGACAAACTTCTGATACATTTCCTTTTTAATAAGAAATTGAAATAAGGTTCAAGAAATTATCCATTGTTAAATTGAGTGTATGCTTTATTACCATCTCATACACATATAGTTTCCTTACTTGATAAATTTTTAACAGATTTCCTTTACAGATTATTGGGTGAAAAAGAGAGTCAACATTTAGTCTCACCTCTAAATTTCAATGGTTGATGTTTTGACTTTTTCCTTACAGGTTTAAATATTCTTCTGGAAACACTTAAGGTCATTACTTGTTCCACTGTAGTTGGTGTCTCCACTGATAGCATAAATTTTCTAGCCACTTTCTTTTCACTACTGATGTCCCACTGGTATAGCTGCTGCGAGGCAGATTTAATCCAGTCAGTAGCATTTCTAACCAAAGAACCAATGGCTCCTACCAGTTTGTAGAATTCAGCTTGGTATTCATAAGAACTTGATGCTGTTTGAGGTGTAGGAGCTTCAGCAGATGTTTCTGTGTCTTGTATTGGAGGTAGGTTGTAACTTACAGTGGAAGTACTCATACCCAACATTGTGCGCTCCACTTGGTTGTTCACAAGTTGGGAAATTGTTGTTGGCATACCAACCCCTGAAATAAATAAATAAATAAATAAATAAATAAATAAATAAATAAATAAATAAAAGAAACAATAAATAATCGATAAATATATAAACAGGAGTCATTAAAAAAAGGAAAAAAACTTATGTTGTTTTTTATTGTTGTAGGAACACCAGCTTCACATCCATTTATGGTTGAAAACTTACCATTTAAGTCAAAAACTATTGTTGCATGTTCTTTAAGCATATCTTAATGTACTGAAAAAATTAAATTTAACTAAATGTATTATAAAATTAAGGTAATCAACATTATTTGCATTTCCCAACCTAGCATGAAAATTCATGCGTTAGCACTCCTATTGACAATTCTAGACAGTATATATCAGAATCGTCAATAGGACTGCTAACGCATGAATTTTCGTGCTATTCCCAACCTAAATCTCTGGTTACTCCGGCAATTTTTTTGCAACTCAAACCCCTTATTAGGAAAATGTAAATAGTTATTGAAAAAATACAAAAGATACACACTATTCTGTGAGCTTTGCGCCTGTCACACAATAAAGTTAGCCCTAGGTTATTTGGTACTTTTGTAGTATACCCCCCTCCCCACCCTGTAACCGGTTATTTAACATTTTCGAGAAACACCCTGGTTTTCTGTCAGCATAATCACAACTTCTAGTAATGACACCAATTACAAGCCAGTATATATTTCTTGAAGACTTGACTGGCCTGGCCCTAAAACTATTATTCCAATAAGATTTATCACTGAAATGAAATTCAAACTTACCCGCTCGCACACTTAGCACCAACATGACAAATGTCAACAAACAGCTGACTCTGGCGCTCATCTGGGTTACGGTCTTCATTTCACTGTATATAACATCAGATTCTTCTTTATGTCGGTTGATCTATATAACATACATGTATAAAAGAGCATATAAAGTCTATTCGCAATCTTAAAACGCTTATCGTATCGCAGTAAATCTATAATCGAACGGAGAAAAGCGAGTTGACTTCCGCCATTCCCTTTCCCGTTGATTTGTCTGCTCGCATTATGACGTCATGAATATTGCGACAACGAAGCTGAATGTGCCAGGATGAGCTATCAGGATGTGGTATTTTAACTTGAAAAGGGCCACAGGGACGTTTATCGATTTGTTAAAATTCAATGATTATGTGATTATGGATACTTTATTTTTTTGCTATTCAGTGTCAAAATCCCTCTAAATCGTCATTTCTCATGCATATTCTGATGCCAGCATTGGCTGCCATCTAGCGAGAAAAATATCACATTAACGATTGTAGATAATCCGTAACAATAGCAATACATTTTAAACACAGCTACTCATAGGTTGACGTTTTAAATTACATTGTTATACACACACAAATAAATAGCAAGTAAATTTTAAAAAATGAGAAAAAATGGCCAACAGCTTTGAATTCAGGATGAAGGAATTTTATATGCTTCAGGACTTGGATTCAATTTTAAAATCTGATGAAATTTAGAAGGTGGCCTATAAAATAAATCAGTTTATATATGAAAAAGGAAACTAAATTGTATTTCACTCTATTGTCTCAACTGCAAAGTACCATATGCAAAATTTAAATAAACATAACATCAGTCAAAAACTGATGGTGAAAACCATGACCAGAGCAAAATTATCTTAGGGAGAATGCCCCAATGCTTTATTTTACTCAAAATAATTTGCACTAATATAAATACAACCTTTAAAAAAGCACTTGAAAGCTGCATGTAAGATTTCTTTAAAATAAACATTTTCAAAAATACTACACTGTAACCTTCTTATGGCAACCATTTGTAGCAAAACTTAACACCTTATCCAAAGAGTATTTTAATACATGACTATAACAATATCATAGGATGAAAATGTTTTCATATATGCAGCAAACCCTATTCCAATGACAAGATTGAGTAATATGGCACAAAGCATCTGCATAAGCTTTTAAGCAAGAGTAGCCTATATAATAATGAAAAACTATCAAAATATATACTACCCATTACTGTAGGAAATAAACTGGCCTTGAGATTATCAGTTTATCAGCTAGAAAACACCATAAACATATATGTATTCAAATTGCTTACACTTTTTTTGTCAAAATGTTAAAGTCTTAATATCATGCTTTTCCCCCAACTTTTCAATGGCTTACCTTACAGTAATTCTCTTTCCATTATAGTAATGAAGAAACTCAAACAAGTTTCAGAATATTTCTATGTATCATGTAAACCAAATTTCATCTCCATCAAGCTATATACTATAAGTGTATAAATGAATGTCTTGGCACAAGATTATACAATGAGCATAAAATGACTAAAACAGAACCCATTTGAATAAATATTTTGCAGCATACTTAGTGGTATATAATATAAAATACTGTGCACAGTTAATTACTTAAAAAGCATCACAGGTTTGATAGTATACGACATCTCCCCCAATCCCAACCACTGCAAAATCAATTCAAAGTACCATTTGGTATTCATGAGTATATAGATATAAAATATGCTCAGTTGTGCGTCTTTTTCCTCCTTGTTAGAAAGGAGGGGTGTGTGTGAATCCACCACATAATTAAGTATTTGAAGTGTTCTGATACTTGGAAACAGAGTACAAGGGCATCTCTACATATAAAGCAGCATATGTTGCAAAGAGTATGTAGATATATAACTAAAATGACTGAAAGCATAATTTTCATAATAACTAGATCCAGATTCAGACATATCCTTTAAAACTAATAGTTAATCATTATCACTGGACCTATACATATGGAGATATTTGGGTTTTCATAACATCAAAAGTCTGGGTGATGCAGTTATTTCTTATTTAAATGGTGCAGCATGTATGTAGTATGTTCTAGTCCGGGTGTGTAAAAAAAAAGTGAGGTGTTCAAAGGAACAATAAAAATTAAATGAATGCAATACCCACGGTACAACCATGAAACAACATAATATTTCCCAAAGAGAAAGTAATTTTGGTACATAAAGTGGTCCACCAGATGCATCACTTAGTCATGCATGTCATGGGGAATTCTGATCTCTGTTTGAATATCCTAAAGGGCATCAAAGGATTGGGGATTGTTGGCAGAGTCAATGTTTGTAAAGTTTATTATCACAATCATTAAACTGCTGAATAATATTCAAATGGAGATCAGGAGAATTCCCCATGACATGGTGTACAGGGGCGTATCAAGAGCTATTTTCTGACAGTCTTCCAAATTATCTTTGTTGATCTATCCTCCAGTTTTGACCGTCTTCCGACTGAAAAAATTACATACCTATCTATGTAAACTTGAAAATCTGACAATCTTCTGAAAGACCCAGAAGATGGCCTAAATCCGCCCCTGTTGTACATTGTCATTATAAACCTCAGTGTTCGAGTAGCCACATTCAGTGCCTAGAAGCTTTGATAGAACACATTATGAACTATTGAGCTCTGCTTGCAAAATGATGGTACATGAAGAAAAAACTTATATCACACAAAACTTATATTTGTAAAACAGATCTGTGAAAAAAAATTGTTAAATTTTCCCTTCAATAAGAAATGCTACTTCATCAAAAATGGAAACATTTTTTGGACCACACTAACATAAGCTTGTGAAATTAGACCTAAAAAATGAGCCTTTAATCTACATACTGCCATTCAAAATACACAACTGCTTAATAACATCTATCACATAATGCTGATACTGTTTCTGCCTTCCTCAGTATAAAAGTAATCAGACTCTCTCTTATCAGTTAAGTCTGACAACTCAACATACACATCATCTTCTTTGTCAATTAATCTATGTATTCTTTGTTTTCTACCCAATGTTTTCCACACAGTTTTAGTTTTAGATTTCCTTGGATTAACAGCCTGAAAAGAGGAAACACGGGTTGATATTGCATGTACTACTAATATTTTTTAAGTTCCAAAAAGTTTTGAATTTTACAAGCAAAAAATGTGTGTGTATATATATATATACCTTAATTGGCAAAATTAAAAGTTCACAGCAAATTTGTCACAAACTAAAAGTTTGTGGAAAGGAGTTTGCAGAAAAAAATTGCACTGCTGCTAATTTGTTGCAAATTTGCAAGTACATAAAATTCCTTTTGCAAATTTGTGAACAGTTTGTAGCAGGTCTGATATTTTGCTAAGGGACGTCATACATGTCTTTTCCTTTGCGAGAGAACGAGAAAGAGAGAGTGTGTGAGTTACCTCTTCGTAAATGCATTCCCCTGTGCTAAGTGTTATTGAATATTTGTGAAAAGGACATACTATGCAACTTCTTCCACCAAGCTCCTTATGAAACAGACAAAAATATAAATATGTTATAACACCAAATACAACAAAAGAAGAAAAGCAGGGTCAACCATTTTTTTAATTGCTATTGCTTTTAAGCTCTTTGAATACTATGAATTTTGCATTAACATATGCAACATGAAAATTGATGCTTAATCTGATAAGCATCAACAAAACTCCAAGCACAGTAGACCATACCAGGATTTTAATCACAATATTTAAGAAATTATTCTTTCAAAAAATGTAAATACCTCTATATCACCTTCAAACAGTGAGCCCCCTTGGTCTGAAGTGGAAAAAAAAACATTCAAGAACACAAATACAACAACATTTCCACTGAATATGTATAACATTTCAATTTAACAGAAAAAGTATACATGTATGTGTCTAAACAAGAGATAAAAAGTGTAACCATTACTTATGAATTACTTTTACATGGTTGAAAGTTGTAAATAATGAAAATCATGAAAAAGTAGCTTGCAGTTTCTTATCACATTTAGAACACATAAAAAACTATCAAAATGAAGACTGAAAAGATTCCTGATATCAGGTTTAATCCTGAAAACTTTTTCTCATGCTTATGCTAAATACTAATGAAATGTACTAGTATTTCTAACAAAAACATGTTAACTGCAGTATGTAGACAATTAATTGCAATGTTAAACCCTGGGGGGTTAATTCACCTTAAAGATAAAATGTAAAACTAAGAAAAAATTTCATAACAGAAAAATTGTTGACATAATGTGGATTAATCTGCATAAATTAGGTGATCACATCTAATCCTTTAAAGCTTTATAAGATAAAATTCAAAGAAATTAAAACAGAAAAACATACGGTAACATAAAGCATCAATAGCATGAAGTTTGCCTTTGGTAGAATACACAATGATAATTTCTCTATCATTAACTGTTATCTTCGTTTTCTTTGCCTTCACCAAATCTTCCCTTCTTCCAACAAATACTGGTTCCTACAAAGTATTAAATGAAAATTTGTTCAGCATTAAATTAAAAATAAAGAAAATGGGCATACCCACACAATTATTAAAATGCGATCTATAACTATATAGTATGTGAAAGCTATACAGAAATAATAAAACATAAAGCAGATATTCTCAGCTAGCAGTCGGACAGTTGATTGTGTTTCATGGCAGGTTCCCTCAATACATGATTCTATGCAGCTGTTTATTGACCTTGGAAGGTGAGTTACTAATTTTAGCAGTCTCTGTCACCGCAACTTCACTATTTACTGTACCTCGGACTGCGTGAACTGCTCTTTCTCTGCAACATTCCAACTCTAAATGTTGTAGATGTACAACAAATGCAGCCTTTGGCCTAGGTCTCAATAGTGTTGCTTTCACCAGCGGCTAAGTTGCATAGTATTTGTTCATTCTTACCTGCATTGGTGGTGCAGACGGACTTTCAGCCATAATTGTTCATTTTACATTCAATTACGAATATGCATATAGTTTCGTACTTCAAAATTTCTTTCTTTTACTAATATAATCTTAAACTGATCAAATTCATATATTAAAAAGTATGCAAAAACTTTTGAATGTGTGTATATTTATATATCTGTCTTATTTGCTTTGTTAAAAGTTTAACTAAAGATACGAATTTAAGCAAATTGTTCATTCGTACAAATGCACAGGGAGTGGGGGTCGGGCTACTGTTGTCAGGACGTCCATCAAGTTAGACTCAATTCGATGTTTTTTATGACATTTTTTAGTAATATAAGTTAATAACATTTTCGACTTATAAGTAATTTGGGGAAAAAATCCGATCTATATTAACTATTTCTTCGTCCCTGTGTGTATTTTGTTCCAGAAAAAACATGGCGGACATCAATACAGGTGAGCGCGAATTACCAAGAAAAAAGGAAATGCCTGAAAAATGTAGTCTGTTTAACTTGACTTGTTTGAGCTTTAGTAACTTGAGCGTTAACGGGAATGCTGCAAATATGTAAAATAAATTATAAGAATTTACATTACCGTAGCTCTGTCATTAAATCCTGTTGTAGAATGATCGTTTTTCACATTGGTCATCACTCAGCAATGCATCAAATCGGCTAGTATTTATTTGTTTTCTTCTTATTTGAAGAAAACAAGTCGCCAGGCAAACGCCATGTTTTTGGACAGGGAATGTCAGAAAGGGTAGCACAGGGATCTGAAAATAGTCAGGGTTTGTGGAATTATTTCTAAATCCTACATCAGATGTGTATTGTATTTCATTATGTGAATAAAAATGTCATCTTAGTAATATATAATATATGGGCATTTCGGGTTTAGGACTAATAAGTATGATGTTCCAAGTACTAGAAAATTGTTGTGAATGACAGTAATAACTTTTAATTTCATTTTCCATCAAAACTAATTATACAGTTTCTTTTAAAAACTTGTTTCACTTATTCATCTTTACAGAAAATTTGCCAAGTCAGGGTTTTCTCTTTGGCCAAGGAATGTCACAAAGAGTAACAAAGGTAAAGTGACCTTCTTTTCTAAGAGAAAATGTTCATTTGTCGGTGTGTGTGTGTGTCTGTGTGTTTTTGTGTGCATGTCTTTGTGTGTATGTGTACTGTAAATATTTCATTCCCCATGTTTTGTAGCATTCTATCAAGATGTTTTTCATATTTTTAATATATAGAATTAAAGGAAATGATTAAATTTTGTTGTACAATGTTATGATAGATAATACATACTCATAGTAGTAATGGAATCTTTTTCTGTGTTCAGGCTGCAACAGAAACAAAAGATGAAACGACCTCAGAAAAGAAAGAGACAGTGCACCATGCAGCCCCTAGCAGTTCTGGTTCAGGCTCTCAGCTGTTTTCTTCACAGTTGCCTTCTTCACCTGAAACTGGCACAACGCGTCACCCTCTCTCTGCCACTTGTGGAAGCTTTGCCTCATCTGGTGCTACATCTGGGTTTACATCTGCCTCTGCAGCAACATCTGGTGTTGCTCGTCCATTCGGAGGGTTCAGACCTGTCACTGCTCCAATGACTGGAAGCACTGGTAAGTTGTATCAAATGGCATATTTTTCTCTTCATTTTTAGATCCTCATTGCTAAATGTCCATTTTCATTTTATTGTGACAATTCTTTCTGAATTTCAACTTTGTCTCTTTCTTTAAAATCAGCTTTTTAGTCATCATTCTTTTAGTTATCTACAGGAGATAATGACTATTGTAACAACCATTTGATAAAAGTGCATATATGCCTTTGGACTGTCCTGTTACAGTACAGGAGTAGAAATTCATAATTTTCACCAGCCCACTGACCATTTAATATAAGTTCTCATATATTTTGCCCAGTATGTATGCTATATGCGGTCTTAGCAGAATATTGAACATTATGCAGACAGATCTTCCCTTTGCTCATTATAGGTTTCAACATTCATTTGATCCCAACCATTTTCATGAATTATTTCTGGAAATGTATTACTGATCCCCTGGTTAGTAGGCCAGTATGAATTTCTAAGCCTACAGAACACATAATGATAATAATAAAAATGCCATTGAAGCCTTTGTTTCTTGCTCTGCTCACTCACTATATAGTTGGGCAGCATGGAGGCAGTCACTCCCCATACACTGCCTCAGAAGCTCCCTATGGGTCACATATGCCAAGAACATTTACAGGAGTGCCAGGAGGTATAGTTTATAACTGGACTTCTGCTTCTTGCTTCTTCACCACATGCTGAAATGCATCAGTTTTTAACCTTACTTTTATCAATTATCATGTCAATTTAGTTGGTTATACCCAGTGTCACATGATTTTTGGTTTCTACCTACTACAAAGGGAATTTTCAATCATCAATGTTTCCCTCATTATTTTCTTTCTCCAGTATTGTAATTTACCCAGTTGCATGCCTCCTAGCCATTTTCTCATGATTTCTGTTTTCCATGTTTTGGTGACATTTAAAAATTAGTAAGCATTGGCAAGATTTCATTGACAAATTGACATTATTTGGTGTGGCAGATTTGTTCATTTAAGCTATCTACATGTATCTCCAGCTATCTATTTACATGCTTGTATGTATATGTTATGAAACTGCTTAAATTATGTGGCACAATTGGCAAATGTGCATTTCTCTCCCTGTCATTTTTTGCTAGACATTTTTTGCACTGAAAATATATTTCAGAAGTTACAAGCATGAAGTCATGAGCCCCCCCCCCCCCCCCCCCCCCCCCCCCCAATATCTTTTTTAATTAAGTGTCTTCTTTTTTTTCCACAATTCCACTAAAATCTAGGTATGCCTAGGTGGTTGAGAGTGCCTACTTCCCCTTGCCCACTTAAGATTTTTTCTTTTTAGGCCAAGGGTGAATCATTGCCTGCATATGAGCATAAATTATATAATCTGTGGCAGCACTATTCTGAATGCCATTGGATACTATCCTGGCTTGTTATTACTGCTTGTGTAGCATGGTTATCTAACTTTCTTTTTGCCAAATACTGTGCAGAAAGCTGAAATTGAAAGGTGCAAAATGTGCACTAACAGCATAAGTCGCAGCTGTTAGCAGAATTGTTGTTGGAAGTGGGGCTGTGTGAAACATTTTTAATCTAAAATAAAAAATGGGTGTATGTTATAGCACTGAACATTGTAAACTTTGTAAGGAGTGGGGATGGTGTTGAATGCTGTTAGCACACTGTGAGTGAGGGCGGGTGTATTTTACTGAACTCTGTTAACACGCTAATATGATAAGAGATGGTGAAGATCAGTTGGATTGTGTTCAAGGTCATGTTACATGCCAAAACTGTTCACATATAATATCACTTTTCCTAAACAAGCATCACTTGTGTTTTTATTGGTATTTTTTCATGATCATGGTATTTTGCCTTCAGCTTCTTTATTAGCATGTGATTTCCACAGGCCAGATGTATTTATTTTGGGTGCATAATGTCTCCTTTCTCAGCAAAAATTTATAACACGTCCTATCAACCAACTAACTAACCAATTAACTAACTTTTGTATCTATTTTTAAGACCTCAGACATCAAATTGTGATTAGTATTACAAAAGCAGTATAACTTAACTTCCAGTTAATGATTCTTGTACGTATATTTCTGTTATTATTTGCCTTAGCTTTCTATTGAGAGAACAGCTGCATTATTATATGTAGGCGTTACTTGCTTACTTGCACTTAAAGTAGAGCTATGAAGATTAAGTGTTAAGTCATGTCTGCACGTTCAAGACCATGAGGTTGTTCTTTATGTGTCATTTTGTCAGTCTTATATTCTGGGTCTCTCAAGCATGGTTTTGTTATATTAGCACAAATAACAGGGTTTCTACTGGATTTGAACTTGAAGATTATTTAGGTTACAATCTGAAATTATTGGGGTATTGCTTAGTTATTTTGAGGCACTGTACAAGAAAGTAGAGGTCATTTACATAAATGTGTCTGAATAAGCTTAGTGAAATTTTTTTAAAGCAATCTTAATGAACATGTCAATGGCATGGAAATGAAACGAAAGTAAAATACTTAAAATTTCTTTCCCCCAAAAGGGTTAAATTGAAAAAAATATTGCATGCTATTAAGAGCCGAGCAATTATCTTTACGACACAAGACCTTATTGTCTTATGTGAAATTTTGTATCAATGATAAATGCTCATTAGAAATACATTTTTGTTCTCAGGGGTCTTGGCTCCTAGTAAATTTGCACCTAACCCTTTTGCATCAAGGCCTGCAGAGTCAGGAGTGTCCTCTACATCTGCACAGTCATCAGACTCAGAGTCAGGTAAAGTATTATTAAATGAAAATTAATTTTTGGGTTAATGAGGTTATTTATTTACATGTATATAGTTCATTTCTTTCATCAAATATCCCCATTCAAGTTTAAGATATGATTGTACATTACACAACTTCAGAACATTTAAAATTTGAAATAAAAAAATGTCAATTTATTGATTCTTATTATTAAATTATTATTTTTGAATTAAAATTTCATATCTTTAAAAAAAGGCAAATGAGTTAACCTTCTCCTGCATTAATATTTCAGAGGAAAGAAAAGAGAGGCCTATAATTGCACCTGCCCACCTAAGAGTTTCCCCTCTTGTGAGGCGGTCTAGTAAGTTTGATTTTTATCTTCATCATGTAGAAGAAAATGTTTTTTAGAGTGTCAGATTGTGTAGGAAAACAAACAAATATTTTCACCTATGCAACTGTGAGTGAACAAGGAGATACATTACTTCTTGGTGTGAGTAAGTGTGCATTTATGAAAGGTCAACATGTGAAGATGTGAATTGTATGCACAAAACATGCTGTGGTCGACAGAAAGTTTTAACAGTATTTTACTCTATTTGCAGAAATCTTTTCTAGGGTTTTGATTATAGTTATGACATATAGAAAGATTTTCCTTGAAATCATGTAATTTGGAGATTTTAATTCAATTCTGATGATGGCCCTGGATCCCCAGCTGATTAAGTGTTTGGCCCTAAGATAAATGCGCAGAGATTTTTTAACCTAGGTGTTTGTTTGGAGAGATAATGGATTAATGTTGAACAAATGTGGGATTGGTTTTGTTTTGATTCAGATTGGTTTTGTTTTGATTCAGCATGTTTCTTGATTGATTTTAGATTCATCTTCAAATGAAGCCAATTCATCATTTGCTGTCAGAAACATTCTCCGACCTTCTACTTTAAGTGCACAGACAGCAGAATTAGGGAAAGGATTAAAATCAGGTAATACTCTTTGTGTCATCTCACACTATCAAGAGATAAAATTCAGAAATCCAAGCGAGGTGTGCCCTGCCATCAGTCTATGTCTTGTTTATTTTATGGCTTTTATTAAAAATGAAACTTGACATTTGCTAAATCTGCAGGTTTATTGCATGATATTGTTATTTACCATTATTTACCATATTTTCAAAAATATCCAGACAATATTTTTACAGTAGTTGTAAATAAGAACAATGCATTATTTTACTTGTTCTAGTACAGAATGTATAGGTTTTGACTTTTTTCATTTATAAGATGAAGAATCTGAACCGTGTTCAAGTTCAGCAGATGGGGAGAAAACGAAACCGCTGTCACTTTTATCACATCAGTCAGAGGATGGACAAAAAGGAAGCGTGTTTGCATGTGTTGTCACAAAGCCAAGGTGAGTCAAAAAGAGACTAATAGGACACTAAATAACTGATATTTTAATAGTGGTTCTGTTTATATACCCTAATTGTCATTTGTTGTGAACTTTGTTATCTAAGTAAAGAATCAGTAAGTAAGTAGATAATCAGTCAATTTTTTGGAACACACCAAATCTTTCACTAAAATTATTTTGTTAATATTTTTTTTGTTAAATGGTTTGTTATAATGTTTCTTTGAACAAACAATTTATGCAAGTCAGTGTTTTAATAATTGGAAGTTTGTATTTGATTTTTTCAGTTCTACGGAAACTGAAGGCCAAAAATTTGTTTTTGGTCAAAAAATGGATGAAAGAGTGGTTGTAAGTACTTCTCATGTAAATTTGTAGTCAGACACAATTTCAGTTATATTAAGTACCTTGATTTCTTTTACATATAATTTATATTTGAATATTGTATAATTTTGATAAATCTGAAATGTGCATGCAATATTTATGATTTATTTCAGAATGCTCCACTCTCTCCTGCTGCAGAGCCAAGTGAAAACACATTTGAAGAAAAAGCCAAATCTGAAGGTAGGAGTGTCACCTTGTCAACCAGTTAGTAATACATAAGAGAATTCATTTTGAATTTTTATTAGATTGATTAAAGCAGTGTATGGGTATGATGGAGCAAAGAGAAAGTTGATTATTAAAATGTCTTGTCTATGTAAAGGCATAGCAGCAGAGGCAGAAACTATTCAAATTACATCTTAATTAGGGTTCATCATAGAAAACGCAAATTGAACGTAAATTTTTGTTCATCTTAGAAAACACAACTCCTACCAAGACTCTGGAGGAATCTGCCAATGAGTACCAGGCGAAACAAGCTATTAAAGAATATAAAGAGGTGGAAGTTGTTACAGGAGAGGAGGAGGAATCCAATGTTTTTCATGTGAGTTGGCCGTGAATTATCATGTGAATTTGTGTATAAAGCACTTATCACTTTACATGTTCAGGATTCAAGTTGTTTTAACAATTTAAACATTTTAGAATGTGCAGGATTAGTAAGAAATATCATGATAGCTGCTCTATTTTATTTTATTTAAAAAATGTGGCAAATTTGAATTATGGACTGGTTTTACATCTTGTAGAGAAGCGCTTAAGTTTCAGTGAAATTATTAAATTGAAAACTTAAACAGTGTTGAATGTTCTTTAAAAATGTCAGAATCTGATTCATTTTATTTTTTTTTGATTCAAGTCACAGTGGTAATAACAATATTAAGGCATGTTATCCATTTTGCATATTTTATTTTCCAGAACTATTGTAAACTATTTGTATTTGACAAAAGCACACAGGCATGGGTAGAAAAAGGTCGAGGGCATTTACGTCTTAATGACTCTTTACCAGATGAAAATAGGAAATTCCACTCTAGACTAGGTAAAAAGAGGGTACTAAATTCAATAGGTTTCAAAGAATGTTGAAAAATAATCTTTGTCAAACTACCAATGATCCAATAGAATCTTTAATTATCTACTAGATGAAAAGCACAAGTTCTTTTTCATTTTAACCTTTTGCCTAGGTTTTATTCATATATATAATCCAAGCAAGTTCAGGTTTCATAGAGTGTCATGTAATAAGACCTGTTAGGGTTAAAGTTACAGTTTGAGCTCAAGGGTATGATTATAGTTTAAATACTGAAAGGACATTCAAAATGTTGGCAGGATTTATGTCCATATAGCTTCACCACAGTTAGTGTGTACATTGTCTTTTCAGTGATGAGAACAACTGGCAGTTTACGCGTGGTATTGAATTGTAAGATCTGGTCTGGGATGTCAGTGGATAGAGCCAGTCATAAGAGTGTTAGGATAACAGCTCTGGAAGAAGACGGACTCAAAGTTTACTTAATAATGGTAGATATATGGCTTTCTTCCTTTTGTTGAAGACTGAATAAATATTTTAATATAATAAAATAAATAAATAAATATAAATGAATAAATAATATTGATTGATATTGATATTGATATTGATTTTTTGCTTATTGTGATATGAAAAAAAATCCACAGGAAAATGTGAAAGAAAGTTTCATCATTCATTTTGACTTTTTAGGCCACTCCTAAAGATACAGAGCAGCTATTCAGGGCAATAGACTGGAGGGTACAGCAACTTAAAGTTGCCGAGGAGACAGAAGCCAAGACAGCAGAAACAGTGGCGTCAAACTCAGAAAATGGAGTAGGTAGTCATTCACATCACAGCAAGAGAAAAGTGGAAGACAATGAGACAGAAGCAACAGGAGGTGTGGAAGTGCCTTCAAAAAAATCCAGGTATGCTTGGCATGGTGTATGGTTTTACAACCTTCTGAAATGAAACATTTTAGTTTTGTTGCAATTTTACATAAGCGATTTCTGTAATAGGCCCCTTAATTTATGCTAAGAGAATCATTTAGAGATATATATAAATGACAATTTTAAATATTTTTGGTTGGTGAAATTCATTTGCAGTACCTCAGTGGTCAGTAAAATGTCTTTTAATGAAAAAAATGTTTACTTACAAACAAAGCCTGCAGATGAAGTTGTAATTGTGCAAGGTATATGTATGGACATCTTATTCTATATCATTTCAGACAGAGCAGCAGTCCTGAAGATTCTGACAGACCATTAGACTCGCAGGAAGAGTCCAACTGTGACAGTCTACTAGATGTTGACTCTGGTAAGAACCATTTTACTCAAAAACATTGCCTCTTGGATGGAATGATTTAGATTCAACACTGGGTTCTTGGGACAAAAGACAGGGCTTCTGTTGATGACCAAAACCTATCCTCGGCAGCTTTCGGCAGAACTGTGTTTTTGCGGCTTATCTTAGATTTAGTCTGTATTTTTGTTATTTTTTTAACCATATTTACAAGGGGCAGGCAGTGGTGATATATATTAAGCATCAAAAGGAAGTAAAAAAGGACCCAGAGTGAAGTAAAAATAGTTTTATATAATTGATGATTATGTTTTGTTTTACTTTAATGTTCTGTCCAGCTTGTAAATTGAATTTCATGTTTTTCTTTTGTTTACAGCATCAAATTCAAGTTACAGCCTTCAGTCCACGCCAGGACAGTAAACCCTGTGGATATTGACTGATTTGTTACTGAGTTGGGAACTCACACTGTTTATTGCCATGCTACAAGAATCAGTTCCAGCCTGGAGAGCTATGCCATTTTATTACTTGGTAGTGAAATGGGAATCACAACCTAAAAACGGGCACCAGATACAGATGATCTGGTTTACTGTTGAAATTGGCTTTCTTCCAGTTGTTATTGAGCTAGAAACAGGCAAATTTCTTTCTGTTATCACTCTGTTAAAGAATAAGTCCAGGACTGGAAACCTGCATACATGCAGTATTACTTGGTAGTATAACACAGTTCTGTCAATTACTGCTTGAATGGTGTAGTTCTGTGAGGATAGAATATCTCAGAAGCCAGTGACAATCACAACAATTCACATTCTGCTAGAAGCAGTGCATCCACTAGCCAACACGGTGGAACTGGTGTTAGATGTATTGCAATGGTTAAACATCTTGCATTGGGATTAGTTAGTGAGCAAGCACAGCAGTTGACTTTGCTGCAAGCTTAGATAAAACGCGTCCATCTTTGAATTGGTTTACAATTAGACTATCTAAAAATCAGATGCTTCAAAAGTGAAAAGAGCACATGCTCCCTGCAATGATGAAATTCAGTTGTCAATGAGCAGAATCGACAGTATTTTTTATCAAACATATTTAGTTCTAAGCCTTTATCTACCACCAGTGGTAGATGAACAGAAAATAATATTATTGTAATGCTGTTTGTGACAGCATGGGGAATATAAATCGCTCTTTACAGTTAAAATAAAATAAAATGCAAAATTTTGGACAAAAAAGAAGATGCTTTAGTTCTGTCACTTCTAAAATGCTTTGCACATTTTATTTCAGTAAACAACCAAAAATTAAAATTTCTTCATATGACTTTGGGCATGCAGCCCCCCCCCCCTTTCTAAAAAAAAAAAAAAAAAAATACAAGATCTTTGTAGTAAGTATAAGTTGAACCCCTAAAAAATTTAAACTCTAAAATGAATATAATGTGTCCATCCACAGGTAATGAATGGCCCTTTTCATCCTCCAATTTACTGCATTTGTCTTAAAGTAGATATGTTTTATATGAAAAATTTTAAGTGTAGTGAATGGCCTCTATGGAAGCACCAAAAAGTATCTAAAGAAGGCAAAAGAAATGCCACGTAGACCCCACATTTCCCTGCAAGCCACTGTGGCAGTCAGTGTGTCATTATCTTGTTGTATTCTCTCTGATGTTCCAACATTTTCAAAAACACCTGATATTTCCTCTTGTGAAAATCTTGACATTGTTCCTGAGGATACACAATTTTTCCAGCTCCACACATCTTTGCCATGGCATCCTATATGTTACAAATTTATTACTGTACTATTGTGACAGTAGTAGCCCAGAGTTTAACGAGATGTAATTACATTTTGGCATTTGCAAAAAATTTAAAATTTAGCTTAAAAAAGTGCTTTTCAGTCTTGAAATATTAACAAAAACTTTTTACCAGTATAATTTGATATAATTTATACTCTTTTAAAATAGAATACAGTGTTTCATAATCTTCTTTTAATAGAACTTGTGCAGTATATTATGTTAAAAGCTGTTTACAGGTTGTGGCATTAATAAAAATTCAAGCTGATACATATGAAAAATGAACACATTAACAACCATAAAGGACTGCCTGTGGGGCCATGTATAAGCTTCAGCCTACCTGAATTGAGTTAAAGTCTCCAGATGCAAGTGCCCCCAGTATTGCTGAACCTAACAAGACTGACTCTGTTTGGTCTGGCAGCATTATTGGTATACCTGAATGAAATGTGAGAAAGAAAGAAAATATTTACAGCAATATAAAGTTATGTATCACATAATTCCACATACGTTTATATTAAGAGAAGTAATATAATATCTGTATGAACCCCACACTGAAATTCTGGAACTGGAACCTGTGCACATTTCTAATAGCAAATCTATGCAGATCTTTTACTAATCAGACACAATAGTGTTTTAAAAAGATGCCATTTTATCTGGCTATGTCTCCATAAAATTTATATTTTAGGAAGCTTTGTGTCCCTTCTTTATAGGTACTAATTCATTTCATACATCTACACTGTGTAAATTAAATAGGCAAAGGTCAATGAAAAAAGGGAGGGGGGATTCAGGGTGCATGTTCTCCAAAAGCTTCCATAAATCAAGAAAAGTAAGAAAATGAGGCTAGCCCTGTGATCTCTCCCCCCAAGGGTCCCCTCTGACCCACAGTAAATATCCAGCTTACCAGTGACATCTGCATGAGTTTGTACATATACCGAGTTCTTGGCCAATCCACCACACATAAACATCATCTCAACCTGGTGTCCTGCAGCCTTCAATGCTTCTAGAATGTGCTTTGTACCATACTGAAAGTAAAATGGGTAATATTTACTGTTTAAACTAAAGTTTTAAATTACACAGCATAATTTTCTCAACAATTTTGGATAGGATATACCCTAGTGATAAACAGATGGTTGCTGAAATAAAGTTTTTTTTGCTATATTATGACGTAAAAAGCATTGTATGCCTGTAACGTATCCATTAATCCTGTGTTACATTAGGTGAATTTGATAACCTTAAAGATATCTACTGAAAGGCTAGTGAAAGGCATGCATGTTAATTTCATGTTCAACTTAGTTTACTATAATTCAGAAAGCAATCAAACATTATCATTAAAAACATAATAAGGATATCACATCATCTTTAAAAATATCATATAAATATAAATATTGATAATCAGAAATCAAAATTATTCAAATTGGTCCTCACTGCTAATGCCTGTATTGTTGCCAAATGATTGCATGCCAATTCCTCTACACCACAGGCTAATGTCAGTCCACTGATCTAATAAAAGAAAGAGTTTTAGTTTTGTAATACCATCATGAAAAACACAAGAAGAAGATCCTGAAATATATTGTAGTTTGAAATTTACCTTACTGAATGATAGCTAGTGCTTAATCACACTGAATCACAAAGTACATCAGCCTCATCAGCTATTTTTAATATTAAACTTCTTTTTTATTGAATAGAAATGTAAAATTATGACTGAAAGGAACTGAACTTGTCAACTATTATCATAACAAGTTGTTGAAACCATTTAAAATACACTTAACCATTCCCTTTAACGTAGAATCTGCCAGGGGTGATCGGTTGCCATGGAAATCTGGCCACATGTGTAAGTCACGAGTCAACTCTGCACTATGACTTAAACCTTGCTTTTCTGCCATTGATTGAATCAGCTGATTCAAATAAACTGACAAATGAATACCCCTAAAAAAACCCAGTGACATAATATGAACGGTCATATCAAAAGTTTGTTGACAAAACTTTTGTTTAGGTGTAAGGAAAAGCGGAAAAAAAATACAGGCTTTCCTGTTTACGTTGGTCTTTCCATCTTTCATGATTATGTGCTACAGTGCTTTTTAGAATTTGAGAAAAAGTCACATTTTTGTAAAAATTAATAAATTTTCCTACTCTTTCTCTGCTCTCTGAAGGGCTTCTGAATAGGCTGGGTGTGTTTCCACAATGTGGTCTATCTACAACCAAGATGTATGACATTTTCAAAATATATGAAAATCACTTCTCGATAATAGGTGACGTCATTATATTTAATTTGAGCCAAACATATTGTAACAAGATACACTTACACATAACCCAATTCTTAAAGTTGCATCCATTCCTACTTGACAAAGTATAATTTCTATGTTTAATAAATGCAAAATACTTCTTTTGGTATAGACTACTATTTCCCCGTTTCCCCCAAGCAGTCTGTTTCTACTCATTCATCTGCCTTTCACTTTTATTTTTTATCCAGATTATTATATAACAGATACATGTATGCCACATTTGTGTGGTACCAGTTATAACTGATATATATTTACCAGCTTCCCACAAGCAGTTTGCCCAGCTTCATTTGTCCAAAACTCTGGCACCATTACGTTATAGAATGGTCCCCACACCCCTGGGACAAACACTGGGTCTTTGTTCATCTGGAGATCAATAATACACGATTTCTCCTAAATATTTTACCATGTATCTAAACAATGTAAAGTGTAAACATACAGACTGGCAAAATAATACAGCAATATACAATCTCTGAGCTTCTGACAGTCCAGTCCCACATTTCTACTGTTATGAGCATTTTAAAGAAAACTTATGTTAACTGATACTCACTAAAACATTTATCATAAACATAAATAAAATACAAGAAGTAGTGTCTTAACCTGCGTAAGTAAAACACTGCTTTAAGAAAATCGATACATTACATATTTTCCATAAATTAATGTCTATTACATGACTTATATAGTTATGGTCTCAACAAGTAGAGTGCAGAAGTCACTGTTGTCATTTTTGACAACTAACAAGTGACAACTACAGTACCTTCATGTGACATGCAGAGGTCCCACTAATGACAGCTATTCTGGATCCCAGTGGAATATGTCTGGTGACTTCTGTCTGACAGCCAATGACCCCTAAAATTCCACATAGATATCATAAAGACGATTTCCTGGAATGATCAAAATACATGCAGACTTCTTACACAATATACGGAGAAGCTTTACAATAAAATATTTGCATTTGCTTTCATGAAATAAGATTTGTTAAGTTGGATCTTAGCTTTAACTTTACATAAATGGCATGAATAATAACCATAATACACAATTCCAAAATTTTAAATATACAATTATTCAAAGCTTTTCACACACACTGGTAGATCAAAGATTCAGCAAGGCAGAGGGGCACAAGGAATTTTTTGGACAAAATCCATTTAACAAAATATGTTGAAGAAAACACCTTTCTGCCTGTACAAATTTTTCAAAAATTTCACTGTTATACTGTAATGTATGCACATGCCTGCTCCTCTGGATGGACCATCCAGTCAGCATACCTATTCCTCCTGCATGTGCATCTATTATGCCAGTTCCTACTGCCAATGTAGCACGTAGTCCTAGATCTTCAGCTGCGTGCTCAGACAGACCCTCACCACACTGGTATCCTGGCATTCTGAAGTCATTACCTTTCAAAAATAGGATGTTAACTCATTAAAAAGCATACACATAGTCAATAATATGTAAAATGAAATTCCAATGCCATTTTGTTTGAAATGTGTTTCACCAAGCGCAATTGGTTTATGTTAAAATAGAGTGCTAAAATGAATGAATTTTAAATTGTTCATTATCCATTTCGAAAGCCAATAAAATATTCCACTGTCTTACTTTGATAATTACCTATTTTTCTGTAGTTGTCTTCTGTCAAATCCTCAAGGCCAATTTGTTTGAAATAATCATTACTCCATGATCCTTCCCCTGGTCTTTCAGGTTGTAGAACATAGGTCCATTTACAGACCACGGAACACAGCGATCTAGAAATACACAGCATTTAAAACTTTATAAAACTTATTTAAATCCTACATTGCAGACAATAATCATCAGGGGATTAGCTAGGGTACTTAACTTTTTTTTTATTGATTCTTTAAACATGTGGTATCTGTGGGAGGGGGGGGCATAATAGATGGGGGATGGGGTGTCATTTTTTGTTCAAAATGGGTGCCACGACATTATTCATATACCATCCTTTTTTAAATTTTCATGTGTACACTCACTGCATATGAGCTACATCCCTGATTATATTTGTTAACACCTTTCTTGTGAGTTCACCCAAGACATGGAATGCCATATCATTGTAAATGACCTATAGATTTAAAAGTCTGCACATCTCTCCACTGCATTGTGGAGATAAAGAGAGTAAAGCATTTCATTTACAAAGGCATTCCAATTTGGTATTCTGTTTTGTATACCAATGTTCAAAGTGAAATTAATTACAGCAATCCATAAAAAACAAACTGCAAAGGGCAATATTAAAGGGATAATAACTCTTTGTTTTGGTCAAAAAATGAGTTTTCCTGGAGTAAACAACAATTTTCCCATACTTACCAATGGTAACTTAATGAATCCATTTTTACATTCCCTGGTTTTTTTTTCTAAAAAGTTTGGTTTATTGTTAAAATCTCTTAAGAGATTTTAACAGAGTATAGCCATCAATGGAGGTCACGTGGTCTAAAGACAAGCTCAGATATCAGAATAATAGCTATAACTGCCGTTTTTGTGGTAAAACAGAATATATTATATTTCTATGAGTTATTCACAATGTTTTTATTGTGAAATATAGATCTCATACAAAGAGTTATTATCCCTTTAAACAACTGACCTTGATAAGCTTCCAGTTGCTTTCCATGTTAGAAAATCTGGCAACTCCATGAAATATTCTGCTTTATCCCAACATTCCATTTTCAGGTTCTGAAAATTTTTAAAAAGTTTAAACATGAATTCTAGGCAATTTAAAGAACAAAAAAATCTAACATGTAAGTTCTGAAAAGCATAAATGCCAAAACAAATCAATGAGTTATAAAAAAAACCTAGCCATGGATTAAGTCAAGCCTCTTTTATAAATCTGAGGTGTGGATTACAATATTCTAGATTTAAAATTTGTAAAATTGATTTTGTACAAAATTGCCATCCATTTTGTTACAAAATGATGCCTAAAATTAAACAAAATCAATTATGAAGTATAATGTAAAAATCTATACCTAATAAATGTGCTTAAAACCACCCAGAGCAGAAGACCTTTATAAGCAAAACATTTTTTTCAGAAAATTTCAACACTTTTCTGATTTACAGATTTGAGCTACTCTCAGAATGAAGCTCATATAGAGACTGATGAATTTTACTTTAACAGTAAAATTTCTTTAAAAATTAATAACCTAAAAACACTATAATGTTCTTGGTGTTTTTGAATAGGGTATACCTTTGTGAGAAGTGGAAACTGCTGGAATTTCCAGAAAAATTCATTATTTTTTTAAAAGGTTTAATGCAAATAATAACCTCCTTCAGCCACATGAGCTTGGGTGTTTCCATTTCTGGAGATATAATCCCTCCAACATAGTCCAGCACCCTGTGTTTTGTAGCATTGATCCTGTCTGCTTGATGAGAGGCACGGTGATCCATCCACATTACTATGTTCCTATTAGCATCTCCTGTAGGAATAGTTTTCTTTTATTAACCAAAGGATAGACATAGACATGCAAATGAAAAGCTTACTCAGTAGTTTGAAAGAAATTTAATTTGTCATTTGGTTAATTAACAGAACTCTGGCTTTACCTTGAACAGACTACGCACAGAAATCTAAAAGTGACTCTTTTAACTGAGCTCCACATAAGACAAATTAAGACATTATCACTTAGGCAGGGATTCCTTGATCAAGCAGCTATCACCTGCAGACAACCCTTAAGAAAGATGTTGCTTCTGTATTAGACCAAAAGTAGCCATGGCTTCAATTTGTTTGATAGAATATTAAAAAAATGTTAACATCAAAAGCCCCCCCCCCCCCCTACACACACACACACACAACAAGGGTGCCCTGAGAAAGACAGTGATCATTATATCAAAACAGCTCCATCTTACAGACACCATAGCTGTGCTAAAGGCAAAGACCACACAATTATTATCTAAGTCATTAGTTTAATTATTATATCGATAAATTTTGCTGACAAGTGACATACCTGATGGACTGGCAGTGACTGGCTGTCCATCTTTACCAAGCACCACAAGAGAGCATGTTGAATCAAAACCAATTCCTTTGATTTCTTCCTTGTTGACTTTTGATGTGACTGCCTGAAAACAGAAACATTCACTTTCTAATGCCCCATTAAAAAGACGTTGAAAAGAGACGTGTAAAACCACACCGATTTTTTTTTTTTTTTTTTTGGGGGGGGGGGGGTGCATTCACTCCCCCTGGTGCAAAAAACATTGGGGTAGATCTATTCTAGAAACGATGAGTGCCTCGTCTGTCCCAACCGCCCTGCAGAGAACATATGGATAAAATTTTTAAAATATCTGTTGCTGATAAGCCAGTGGGTACAGACTGTTACCTTCACTGTCTTGCAGCACATTGCCCAAACATCTTCAGATGATTGTTCGTAATAACCTGGCTTTGGTTCCCATATCTGTATTGGCTGGCTGGCTGTCGCAAGAATGTCGCCGTCGCTGTTCACGAGTGCCGCTCGTACACTCGCCGTCCCAACATCTACACCGATATAATATCTCCCCATCTTGCGTGACCGGTGCAAGACTCAGGTTATTGTTTACAGTGTAGTAAATCTAGGTCACATAGCTCACTGGTCACAACAAATCACAAGATCACAAGAAACGATTGCTCGTGGATGTCAGGTTTGTCTCAACTAACGCAATCTGTTTGGTGCTGTGCTTTGTGTAAAAAATTGATTGAATTATATTTGAGATTGTATTAAATGTAAAGCGTGCTAGAAGGGGAATAGATAGGCTAGATCTAACGATCCACAAAAGCAAAAAATGAAATAAATAAATAGATAAATAAATAAAATAAATTACTTTAAATAATAATAATATTGAAATAAATAATAAATAAATAAAATTTTTAAAAGATAAATGTTCAACTCTGATCAGTGTCATTATTTAGATCACTGAGTGAACCATGGAGCAATACAACTTATTTTACAGATTAATCTATTGGTTCACCCCTTTCCAAAAGTGGACTTAAAAAAAAAAAAACAAAAAAAAACAAGCCAAACCCCTTCCTTCTGGACAAATATTGTTTACAAGTGTACAAATCCATAAATAAACAACACAGTTCTTATATTTTTAAAGTTTATTTACAAATGTTCACTTCAATGATCCATTTACTATATTATATATACATGGATCAAAAAACAGCCAATTGGTTTGAAGTTCACTTTTTTAGATGGTTTGGTCCACAGGTTAAGGAATATCAAAATTAAGGGAGAGGACTTTGCTTATCTGTGTTATTAGTCAAAGGAACATGCAGTGGCTTATTATTATCTATATGTAAACTAGTCTCCTTGTGATTTTCATAGGTACAGCAATGGGCACTATCGAATATCTAATTTGTCTAAATAGTATACAAAAGTCATCAATACTGTTATGAATGTGCTTAATTCACTTTCATTTTTTAATAGCAATGTTTGCAATGGCCCTTGGATTGCTCTGTGCATTTTGACCATTTTCTTTATTTTGGATATGCTTCTACTATCATTCCATGGCCCTGAAAAGAAAAACAAATATACCTCAATGGATTTTTCACATCATAATTTCCGTGTTTTCTTCCATTTAACAATCTATTTATTGTGGAAAGGACTAGGTACATAACTCAATGCCTGTTCTCTGTTGAAAATTTTATCTATTGACTAATATTACTATTATATGATATTCATTCACCTGTCCACCAGCTGCACAAGCAGCCACTAAAGCCAGTTGTCCTCCTTCTTTGGCCAGTCTGTTAGCTGCAGTAGTGACCAATCGCACCCCTGTGGCACCAAATGGATGACCCAGAGACAGCGATCCTCCCCAAAGGTTAAACTTATCAAGTGGGAGAGCCCCAACCTGAAAAAGGCAGGTTATAGAATAGGGTACAGTTAATCAGACAACTTTCAGATGGTTTTCTTCCAGCCTGTTTTGACTTTCGCAAACAATTCCCATCCTTTTGTCTAGTGATGAGTATTCAAAACAGTCTTCACATACTTTGATCTTAAATGGCACAGGAGGCATAGAAACTAATTAAGTAAGAAATCTTGAGAATTTCTCAGAAAGATTTGTAACAGGTAAATACAGTCCCCATTAAAACTTATTTTTTGTCTCCCTAGAAAAGTAATAAGATTGAATTATAAAGGAAACCTCAACATACTTTTGATTGCCTGCCCATCCATTTCTGACAGAAGAGATCACTATCCATAGCCCTCAAGTTAGCCAAAATCTGACCCTGAAAATGAACGAAAGGAAAAAAAAGACAAATAAAAACAATTTCATTCACTGATGCATGCACCCGAACCCCATTGAGCTCTATTGCAACCTTGGAACTTTGTTACATTCATCAATTTGCCAAACATACACAGTATAAGCAATTATTTTGCCACAAAGTAAAAAAAAAAATATGGCATCATCCCATTTACACAAGAGGAAAAAATATACCCATATCAGTCAAATTCAGAGACTGTTATTGTTATTAAAAGGAGTTATTCAAAGTTTCCAAATCATATGATTTATGGACTTACTGCAAAAGCTTCATGGAACTCAAAACAGTCAATATCTTGAATTGTGAGACCATTCCTTCCAAGAACTTTGGGTGTTGCATACGCTGGACTGGAGTGGAAGAAAGAGCATTGTTGCAACTATCAAAATATATAAAACCATACATTTAAAAACAAAATCAATGTACTAAACAATAAAAAAAAAATTAGATAAAAAAATAAAAATATGCACACCTGTCATTGTCAATTATATCTTAAAAGGCATTTGTATTTTTAGAAAGATGACAAACAAAAAATCCAATGTAAACAAATTTCAAGCAAGTGTTACGAAATAAAAATTTAGATCAGTCACTACATTTTGGATTTTTTCCTTTTTAATTGACAATTAGTCATCTTTTGCAAAACCAACTGATCAAAAAACTACTCAGACTAAATCGAATTACAAGCATCTTGGCTAGGGGGAGTATGTTTCTGCTGAAACCCACCCAAGTAAGAGCTGATCTTTGGGGTCTTGTGCTACATAGACCCAGTCCCTGAGGTATGCCTTAGGTTTGTACCCCAAAGCTAGAGCTTTTTCTTCAGACATAATCAGGCAAGCTGATGCACCATCGGTCTGGAAAATAGATATCAAATCACAACTTGAATAAATGTATTTCAAACTGAAGGTAAACAGAATGTATATATGATATTAGTTAAATGCAGTTTTAGCTAATAAAATTCACAGGGTGCATTTTCAACTGTGCATAGATAAGTATAGTCTCATAAAAAAAAATCAATGTCTCCACCAATTGGAAATTAGCAACTTTTCTTTCATTTAACAAGGGATCACATTGTTTGCCACTGTCTATTAAAGATTCCAGTATACTAAACAAATGTAGTAAAAGATATATTCAACTTAATATGGGAGTAATACATTTCTAAGATCTTTCTCCATGATACAACATCTTAACTATAATCATACTCTTGTAAAAGTTTCAATTCAGAGATAAGAAGGTATTTTAGCACATATATAAGCTTATAATGTAAGGACAATATGTAAAATTTAGGTATTGAAAATCAAAATTATGTGACCCTCTCATTACTGACCAGATGAACATTGAAAAAAGAAAAGAGAGATAAAGATGGAATAAAAGTCCTAACCAGAAAAGAAGCATTGGCTGCAGTGATGGTGCCATGGGGTTTAATGAATGCTGGCTTAAGCTTGCTGAAGTCTTCCACACTAGAGGGCCTCACTCCATTATCCACAACCACTGCATCAGCCTTCCCTAGAAAATATGTTTGACATCATGTAACAGCATGCACCTTTTACTATACAAAGCATTCACAATAGTTTTTCAAATATGAAACAGCTGTTTCTCTCTCTCTCTCTCTCTCCCTCTCTTTACTCATGCACGGACATTAGATGAAGTATCTATAACTAATAATCACCTTTTTCTCACAAGATCTGCTTTACATGGATTTTTGCACCAAATCCCTGAATAATTTTTAAGAAGAAATTCTCAATTTTGAATCAACTGTTTATTCTTACAAATATGTACTACTTCTCTTATTTAAATCTCATTATACATTGTTTATTATTATATATATCTACCTGGCACAGAGGTAGGCATCACATCCGTCAACAATCCCTCCTTGATAGCTTTGGCTGCCATGCTATGAGATCTTACAGCATATTCGTCCTAAAAATTAAATAAATGATAAAATGCATTCCATTCTATAACACAAGTATTTGAAATCCCAAGGGGACAATCAGTAATTAGCTGGTCAGGGACAAGTGGTATCCAGACTTGTGGGCTTATCAAACCTGGGTAAATTTATAAAAAAAAGGTAAAATAAATTAAAAAAATAAATAAATAAAAAATTAAAAAAAAAAAACTTCAATATGTGAGATAAGGATCCTGCAATGACACAAGATGGTTATGAAATCAATTTAAATCACAAAGCTGATCTAGACATCTATAAATACAATGCTTTAAATTATTCAAATGAAATAAGTGTACCTGTCATTAGACACGACTCAAAACATCTTCACTGATGTTTTTATGATAAGATTTCACATAGTTTATCTCTTTATTATTCTTGTTTAATCCTATTCTTTTTTTTTTGCCCACCTGTTCTCTCCTGCTTACACCAAATGCACCAGCAAGTCTGTCAGCTGAGTGACCCATCACTTCATTGGTAGAGAATTCTGCTACAGATGGAGCCTAGAAGACAAGATTACAAAAATTACAAACGGAACAGCAGGGGAAGGAAAGTGTATCCTGAATTATACTATGGTCATAAAAAAAATAGTTCATTACCATAAAACAGGGTCTTGCCGAAAACTCTGTAGTTCCTAATTGCTGTGTGTCAACCTTTATATATATGCATTCTTTGTTGTTTACAGATACAGTTAATAACTTAACATCTTCTAAAACTAATAATCCTCATATGAATCCTTGCAGTTATTTTGAGGATATACTTTTAAAAAGATCTCCTAAAAGAAGCATAACCAGTTTCAATGTGAAATAAAATTACTTACATCTGGTGTAAGTGCTTTTAGACTCATCATTTGCAAAGCTAGACCTATCAGTTCACCCTTAGACTTGGCCCTGCTCATCTGGATCAAAATTTCCCTGCCTTTACGGCTGAAACGGATGGGGGCATCAGACATGAAGTCCACTCCTCCAGCAACCACACAATCTGAGTGTCCAGTAGTTATGTAGTTCCAAGCTGAAAAGACATAAATCATATTTTTTTTGTTTTGAGGGAAAAATAATGGAAAGAACTATTGTAAGCAATACCAAGTTTGAATTTGTAGTCTGCATTAAAAGCTTTGAACTCCTTTAGTTAGAAGTGTGCAGAGATGATAAAACGATATTTCAAACTTCTTTGTTTCAAAGTAAGAAGCACGAGACCAACATGATGCTGTACTGACTTTTTTGTACCATTTAAATCCTGTACACCCAGTTTTATCAGAAATATTTAGCTTGTGCCTTGTTACAGGCTGGTACTGAGGAATCAACTCTGACTAAGGCCGAATTCAGAACTGTGGACTAATTAGTTCGTGGGTCAAATATGGCAACCCACTAAAAAGCTTGCCGTCTAATCCGCTAATAGTAATAGACACTTACCCCCTGTGGGCAAGTATTCAAGTGGGTCAGCCATATTTGACCCTTGGGCTAGTAAGTCCACTGCTCTGAATGGGGCCTAACTTATATCAACTTTATCTTTCATCATTATCAAATAAAGTTCAACGCACCAGATGTGATGGCTTGGTTTGAAGAGATACAAGCCTGCGTCACAGTGTGAGCAGGGGCACTTTGTGGGATCCCAGCGCCAAGGGCAGCCTGATGAGAAAAAAAGTTCATTATTTTTTTCACATTTTACTATAATTTTCCTCTGACAAATTGAACCAATTTTACATCATATTCTATTAAATATATCAAACCTTTTGGCACCTAATATCTATACTACTACAGCTAATGATTTACTAAAATTACCATTCATGAAGAGAAACAATTTAAAAAAACAGATATTAATGGTTTATCATATGTGGAAGCATGTTATCATACCTCCCTGGCAATATTGCTTGTCTTCACTTCCTGAATCACAGTTCCAACAATCACATTATTTATTTCCTCTGCAAGAAAGATAAGACATGGTAATTTTAACAGAAATTTGAAAACTAGATGCATTACAAATTAAAATAATAATAGTAGTAATGATAATAATGATATTAATAAAATAATATATATATATATATATATATAGAAAAGAAAATATATTCTATTCATATAAAAAAATCAAATATCCACACTTCTCACATATTTAGCACAAAAAAAGCACAGCTCATGCTTTTGCATGATAAAGTTCCAGCTTAAATGCCTAATTCTTTAAGGCTCTATTCCCATAGATTTTAGATCGATCTATCCCCGCGGGGAGTCTCACTAGATTACTTTCAGATAATCCGACTTAAATGTCCGTCCCGCCTACTACAAACTGTAAGGGGATAATTAACTTTCGTGTCCGCCCGGCTGACAGCTATTTAGCGTGAACCCCCAGGGAGTTAGGTCGATCTAAAGTAGGTCGATCTAATCTATGGAAATGGGGTGTAAGACTCAACTACGTAACTTTTAAAAACAACCTTAAATGGTGAACCAAGTCTGGAAATGTCCCAAATCAATAGGTCATATGGGAACAGGATACCATGACTATGGTTTCACATCTGGAAAAAGTTAATATTAAATGACACCTACCTTTGGGTATTTGTGTATGTTCTAGGAGAGACCTGGAAAAGATACAGGTAAATTAAAAATGAGCTTGGTTAATGCAGCCTGTGTTCCATAACCGTCATGACCCAGCTTCTTCATTTCCAAATTTCATGTATGCTTGTGTCCACTCAACTTTAGTGGCATCAATTTAAAAGTATACCACACCAATCACAGGTCTATTTATTTTGTCCATATGGTCTTCTACAGAACAACCTGGACAACCAAACACATGTTTTAGTTTGCACAGTTAGCTTCAATCAAACGTGCTGATGAAGTCCAGTGCAAATTAAGACTTGGAAATGAAGAAGCTACCAAGCATTGGATCTATTGCTCATAGTAACTTAAAACTTATAAAATGATAAAATTCAAACAATTTTATTGTTGTTAAAGCAGTCAAACAAACTATTCCTGTATTCACTTTTTTTTTTTCACAAGGAAGAAAGTTTCTTCGACTTTTAACTACAGTTCTTATCTGCTATAATATTAGGTATAGTGACCAAAATGTACATATTTGTAATGGCTTGATGAACGAAATTCAACTGAAGTACATATATTACATAAAATATTACTCATGGAGAATTGATTAGGAAACAAACACTTAGAGCTAAACAAAAATACCTCTTTTCCTTCTTAATAACTGTCCATCCTGAAAATTTCACAAAATTTGAGTAGCACTTTTGGGTTTTCTATTTCTACCAAAAAGACAAAAATAAACACACAATACTATAGAAAACAGGTTTATCATTAGCAGAGAAAATTAGCCCTAAATTCACTTACTGTATAGCTTTTCTCTGCAAATCATGAGGCATCATATTTTTGTAGTCTGTGCCAGACTTAAGGAAAGGGGTCCTTACTCCATCCACCAACACCACATTCCGTAGACCACGGCTTAAATCTCTTTTCCCTGGAAAATTCATAGGAACTGAAATTCCTACATCTAAAATATTTTACAATTAAGTCTCAATCAATCATTTTATTTCTCATAATGAGAAAATATAATTAACCTTTCAATTCCTACTATCAAACGACTGGATTATTAGTGTAACTATACACCATTCTTGTTACCAGACAAAATCCAAAGATAAAATGTCTTTAACAATGAAATCCCCTGTCCACACTTTTTTAACATCTATGTCAATGAAATGAGACATTAACCTACATGGTGACCAATGGGTACAGTACAGAAGGGTCAAGAAAATTATTCATTTATAACTTATCTATAAATTTGTATCAAAGTCATCACTAGTATTTTACATATAATTTAACCGTTATGTATCTTTCAATTGAAATATATTGGTACTTTATTAGCCTTTGTCGTAAGCCTAAATCATAATTATACTCTATTCTAAATTTGTTACATTGTAACAACTACATTGTAATGCAATGGAATATTTTAGTGACAACATCTTCCTATAGATCTGCAGATCCCTTAAAACAGTGCTATGAAATAACAAATAAAGCAGGTCCACTTAATTATTTTCTTATGTTCTAAAAATCAAAATGCTGACATAGGAAAGGGTTTGCAGCATTATCCACAAATAACATACAATAAACTATCTAAATATCATAATCCATTACCTGTTCCTCCAGCTGGTTTTGCCTTTTGCTGAAGTTGGAAAGATGTGCTTAAGCATCTTACAGTTCCAGCATCTAAACAATGATAAGCATAGCACATATATATGAAACTGTTATATCATTTGTCAAACTTAACGTAAGTAATATGCATAATTAAACAATTAATTGGGGTAATTATTTAAATTAGAAAATTGCAAGTTGAACGTCCAGTACTTCTCCGCTGAATTTATTGTCACACCCTTGCAAAATGTGTACCACATGTATAATACAACTTTTCGTACGTGAGGATGTAAGATAATAACTACCTATAAAGACCAAATATAACACCTAACATTGTGTACGTGAATCAAACACACGCCTGTGAAGGTGGAAACTTGACAACTTAGTGACAACTGGGTGCAATATTCAAATTATAAGGCAGTCTCATGGTTAAACATGTATGTAAAGAATGCACCGGTAATCAAAAGAAGTAAAGACTTTTTAGAGCCTAACAGAGTTGCTGACACACACGTTATTACTTACTAAATCTGGCAGGCGAATTTAAGCCTACCGGCACTGCAGCCTTCCACAACGACGCCATCTTAACCGTGATGAACTTTGGACCCAATATCCATATAGAGGCCTCGTTTTCGCTGGGTATTCATGCATGTTGTACGACTCCACTTCCAACTTTTCAACCTTCCGACGTTTAGTTATGCCCCGGATCGCATAGAAAATATCAAAATAAACCTAAAACATTAATGAGATAAATAAAAATAAGTTCTTTTCATTTACTAGTACCCTGTTATGACATCCGCCAATTCATCTGGATATATTAATAAGTATGTTTTAGGTTACGTACGTCAGGCCTCAGGGAATTATATCCGATATAATTCCCTGCTGTATGTAACACGTACCTCTATCTTTATTACTTGATGAAAATCATGTCAACGGGTCATCACAATGAGATAACAAAATAGACGGTTTATCCTCCTTAATAAAACTAGAGTACTGGTCTAAAAGATTACTATTTTTCTCGTTTATACTTCGATTCTTTGAATCTATACTAGCTTGTACTTTTTCATTTTTTGTGGAAAACGTTTGTGGATTCTTTGTGATATGTTTATACAGGCCCGTAGCCAGGGGGGGGGGGGGTTCGGGGGGTTCGAAAGAACCCCCCTTTTTGCTGGAAAAAGGTNGCGGTGACGGGCTCTATGGGGTTAACCTACATGGTGACCAATGGGTACAGTACAGAAGGGTCAAGAAAATTATTCATTTGTAACTTATCTATAAATTTGTATCAAAGTCATCACTAGTATTTTACATATAATTTAACCGTTATGTATCTTTCAATTGAAATATATTGGTACTTTATTAGCCTTTGTCATAAGCCTAAATCATAATTATACTCTATTCTAAATTTGTTAAATGTAATGCAATGGAATATTTTAGCGACACCATCTTCCTATCTGCAGATCCCTTAAAACAGTGCTATGAAATAACAAATACAGCAGGTCCACTTAATTATTTTCTTATGTTCTAAAAATCAAAATGCTGACATAGGAAAGGGTTTGCAGCATTATCCACAAATAACATACAACAAAACTATCTAAATATCATAATCCATTACCTGTTCCCCCAGCTGGTTTTGCCTTTTGCTGAAGTTGGAAAGATGTGCTTAAGCATCTTACAGTTCCAGCATCTAAACAATGATAAGCATAGCACATATATATGAAACTGTTATATCATTTGTCAAACTTAACGTAAGTAATATGCATAATTAAACAATTTATTGGGGTAATTATTTAAATTAGAAAATTGCAAGTTGAACGTCCAGTACTTCTCCGCTGAATTTATTGTCACACCCTTGCAAAATGTGTACCACATGTATAATACAACTTTTCGTACGTTAGGATGTAAGATAATAACTACCTATAAAGACCAAATATAACCGCTAACATTGTGTACGTGAATCAAACACACGCCTGTGATGGTGGAAACTTGACAACTTAGTGACAACTGGGTGCAATATTCAAATTATAAGGCAGTCTCGTGGTTAAACATGTATGTAAAGAATGCACCGGTAATCAAAAGAAGTAAAGACTTTTTAGAGCCTAACAGAGTTGCTGACACACACGTTATTACTTACTAAATCTGGCAGGCGAATTTAAGCCTACCGGCACTGCAGCCTTCCACAACGACGCCATCTTAACCGTGATGAACTTTGGACCCAATATCCATATAGAGGCCTCGTTTTCGCTGGGTATTCATGCATGCTGTACGACTCCACTTCCAACTTTTCAACCTTCCGACGTTTAGTTATGCCCCGGATCGCATAGAAAATATCAAAATAAACCTAAAACATTAATGAGATAAATAAAAATAAGTTTTTTCATTTACTAATACCCTGTTATGAGTACACGTGCCTCTATCTTTATTACTTGATGAAAATCATGTCAACAGGTCATCATAATGAGATAACAAAATAGACGGTTTATCCTCCTTAATAAAACTAGAGTACTGGTCTAAAAGATTACTATTTTTCTCGTTTATACTTCGATTCTTTGAATCTATACTAGCTTGTACTTTTTCATTTTTTGTTGAAAACGTTTGTGTATTCTTTGTGATATGTTTATACAGGCCCGTAGCCGGGGAGGGGGGGGGGGGGGAGGGAAAAAGGTCCCCCTGGGTAAAATTTACTTAGGTACATGGGG